CAGTCTAGCTGGATTTGTAAGGTAGAACTGGGTTGTGGTAGTCTGGGGTGGGGGTGGAGGTGGAGGTTGGGGGAGGAGGAAGCATTCAGGAACTAGAGGAATGATATGTGTTTCATCAGTGCTATCCTGCACCCTGCTTGAATTGTTCCTTCCTTCTAACCCTTCTGGGGCTGGGGCTGGGGGTGGGGTGGGTGGTAGGGAATGTTCAATTATCTGCAGATGGGCTTTGGGTCTCCACTCCAAACTCCCTCTTTTGCATTGATATAATTGTTTGTTTTGGATCTTTTGATACCTGATAGCATTGACATCTCATGATCACACAAGCTGGTGTGTTTCTTTCTAACTCTTTTCCAATCTCTCTCTGTTTCTATGCAAGAAACTTTAGCCAATTTAGAAGAGTGTAAAAAAAAAAAAAAGAAAACCTTGGTTGTGCTTACATCTGGTTATTGGGATGACAGTTGTAAGAGACCTTAAATAGAGGCACTGTTTCTTCTGTATTGTTCTGTTCAGGGATAGGCTTTTTTAATTTCTGAGGAAGCATGCTATTTTCTCTTCCCTCTAGCCCCACCGCCTATGTTTTTTGGAGTGGAGACTATTGTTTAGTGTGTGTGTAGGGCACATGGGTGTGGTGGTGGGCTATTATCTTTTTAGTTTTCTTTATTTAAAAGCTTGAATGCTTATAACATTGGCCACTATAAGCATATCATAATAAATACTGAGACATATTTCTCCCAACATTTGTTATTTGAAGGAAGAGCTACGCTTATACTTCCTTGTACCCAAGATGTGCATATTTTGTCTGCCCAATACTACAGGCTTTCTTTTTTTCGTTTTACATTAACATATTAAACATTATCTCAGCGATTTTTGACTCAGGGAATTTTACATTGGTAGCATAGTGGGCTATGCATTGAAGTTCTGACTATGAGGTCATCAATTCGAAACCCCTAGCTACTCCTTGGGAGATAGATGAGGCTGTCTGTTCCTGTAAAGATGTAGAGTGTCAGAAACCTAAAGGGCGGTTCCACTCAGTCCTATAGAGTCACGATAAATCAGATTCTAAATAACAACTTTATATTATGTCTATAGCATGCATCAGTACGGTGGCACTTTAATTGGTATGTATTGCATATCTATAGCTATAGCACCTATATCTATATACTATATATGAGAGCTTCACAAAGTTTATAGAAAAATGGAATGAGATAGTGAACTTATTGAAGCTTCTGTGTTCTAGACAAATTTTGTGCCAGCAATTACTTTCTTCATTATAGATTATGAAACTTGGTTTATCTCCTCATAATAATCATGAGTAATTATTAATTTTATAATATTGCTAACTACTTAATTTTCATAGTATGATATATAAACTTTGCCCTAGCATTTTTAATATGTAAAAAATCATATGAGCCTTTCACATTGTAATTTTAATCAATAATAGCAACCTTAGTTAAATTCAGAATGAAAAATTATGCTCGCTATTATTAGATGTGTATTTGTATATATAACGTTGTTGTCAGAATGTTGTAAACAGCAGAATCAGTGTGTGTTTTACTCAAGTATTCTGTGTTTTCTTGGCTAGTTACCCCCACAAGAAGGGTATTAGAATACCATTAGAATGGTATGAGGTTTTCGTTTTCATATTCCAAAATTGAGCAGTCTAACTGCTAGAATAGAAACATCTCAATAACAATTTTAATAGTCCAGCCAAACTCTTGGCATTATTGAGTTATATCTTTGAAAAAAGGAATGAAATTCATCTGTGCCTGTGATGCTTTGTGAAAATGACCCCAGGGGCACGGAGTGTGCACGCTCCCAAACCTGAGCCCCCAAAGGCTTGTGACGGCCCGAGGAAGGGGTCCATCTCCTAATTTACAGGACAGCTGCTTTGTGCCCAGCTCATGTGTGCCCTCAGAAAGAGCTTTGCTTCCAAATTGTCACAATGGGGACATCATGAGCTGGGATGACGATTTTTTGAGGAAGGTTCCGTGGATGGTTTGGGTTTCAAAAAGGACCATTATAAGTGGTAACCATTGATGATGTGGATCACAGGCGGGAGATAGCTTGTCTGTGGGGGAGGAGGAGCATGGTTGGACGACCAATGCCTGCGATAAATACGACTGAATATGTCGTGTGCAGGGGCGGCTGATTGGAACAAAGTGTGTGTGTGCCTTTGAGGAGTAGAGGATTAAATGGGGTGAGGGAAGGGGGGAGGGAGTGAAAAATACATTATAAAGGTCCGACATGCTGGGTAAGAAATTTGTCTCCTATCCTTGAAATGAGAAATCATTACAGGCATTTGTCCAATCAATCATATGATCAATGATATTTTAGGTAGATTAATCAGAGGTTCTACAGCATAGTAAAAGGAGAAGGAGTAAAGGTTGAAGACAAGGAGATAAGATTCAAAGCTACTTTATATACAACATGCTTTTTAGTTTCTAGCCCTGGCTCCAGGTAATGAAGATGAAAGGAATGATCTATTTTGATAGTGATTCTATTAGTATAAATTGTATTGTTCTTCTGATTTTTATAATATGTAATATAGAAAATGTTGAAAATATAGTTATGATTAAATAAGAAAATCAAAATCACCAATTCTTAAATCATAGATAAGCACTTTTGTAATTTTAGCTGCACTTGATTTTGTTGCTAAATTATTTTATTTCAACTTATGCATGTTAGAATCATGGCTTATATTAAAGCTCTATTAGTATAGAATAAGTATATTGATATACTTATATGGCATAATTTCTATAAGTAACCACATTGGTAAGCATTTCTTTTATTGAAAGTTTCTATCAGTTACTATATTGTAAGCATTTCTATTATTTAAAATTTTCAGAATTCATTTGTTATATTGCACATTATTCTACTTTTTGAGTACTTTATAATCAGTGCTTCCACTAGCAGAGATTTTTATCATTCCTTACTTTTTGTTTTTATAGCTATTGCTTTATGTTATTACAAACATACTTTCTGTTATTACAAACATGAGCACAACAATATTTCATGCCATACTCTTCCATTCCCTCATTTCTCCAAAGCAAATAAGTCACTAGGAAATAGATTGCCCATCCTTTGTGTGTATTTATTTTGCAAGTTTATACTTCAGCTTTAGGATCTACCAATCTCTACCCTTAGCCCACTTTAAAAATTAAAGGATGTCAGCCTTCTTCTGAGTTTATAAAAGCTTCTATTTCACTCACCTAAAACACTTTCTCAATTTTATTAAATGTAGTGTCCCATTGTGTTCTTTCATTCAGTTATATGATATGCTTTAATCTATCCCCTTATATGCAAAGCACTTCCAAAAGTTTGTAGGAAACTTCCATTTTCTATAATTGCATTTTTCCACAGACTTTTTGAAGCCCTCCAGCATGAGCATTTGAGCGTGGAGCATGGAGTCCCAGGATGGTGAAGCCCTCAGATGCTAATGAGAAAGGAAGAAATCCTGACTGTTTGAGTCTACCACAAGTGCCTTAGAAGAAATGCCTAGTGATTTTCTTTAAAAAAAAAAAAGTCAGCCAATGAAAACTTTATAAAGTACAGTTCTAGTCACTGATGTCCACATAAGTAGGAATCAACTTAATGGTAGGATGGGCTTCAAAAGTTTGGAAAAATGGGAATCCAAAAGAGAAATGTCTTCATGAAATCTTTGAAACGCCTTCCTATGTGCATTTAAGTTGCTTCCAATTTTGCTCTATTTCAAACAACATTGCAGTGATTATGCTTTCAAGTATTTCTGTGCATAAAATTAAAGATAATAAAGCTCCAAACTGAATTTCTGGGCCATAGAGGAAAGTGTCAAGTCTAGTATCCTGTGCTATGTTAAGCAATAGAGAGCGGCCGCCCCTATGGTTTGTGATAAGGAAAATTGGTGTCTTCCCTACTGACTTCTTGGAAAATGTATCAGAGTTCACCTGCTTGTAATCTTTGCAAAATCATCACTTCTAACTTGAATTGCCATTTTGCTTCCCACGCGTGTTCCTGCCACAGGCTCTATAACGAGTCCAGAAGTACTTGGCCGTTTTCAAAATCATTAACATAGAACTCATTTCCATTTCAGCAATTCACGGAAGCCGTGAGTCCTTCAGTGTTACCCCCCTCAGCCTTGCCCCTGGACCTGCTTAATAATGCTGTCACAGCGTTCAGCACCCTGGAGGACCTCATTCGGTATCTAGAACCAGATCGATGGCAGTTGGACTTAGAAGATCTATATAGGCCAACTTGGCAACTTCTTGGCAAGGCTTTTGTCTTTGGAAGAAAACCAAGAGGTAAGTTTTCTCTTGAGACTAGAACTTAGTAGCTAATGTCTCAGGTTCCTCTTCCATAGCTGTTGAATGCAGAGTTTAAAATTATTCTGTGATGGAGTTAGTAATCTAATTTTGTAGCCATTTGTACATATTTATATATTGTATATGAATTCATAAAAAAGAGCCACATCATTATAATGGAGTTTGGAAGATTAAGGATATCATTTTGTTGAAAATCCCTGCCTTTTCTTCAAAATAGTTTCCCATTCCATGCCACGGGGATCATTTTTTACTCAAACCTTATATTTTAGATATATTGATTTAAAGATTCAGGAGCATGTGCATAGATGCAAAACAGATTTGAGGTAAGAAAAGATGGAATCTCTATTAAAGTCATTAGGGACTATAGCTCCCATATCTTAGAATATATCAATTTCGATTTCAAAATTCTAGCAACATTTCTAAATAGTATGCAAAATACCTGTGACACACCAAAACTAGAACTCATTGTTTCCAAGATAGAAGCCGAAGACAGAACATAAACACAGGAAAACGACCCCATGACCTACCATGATCCACTTACTCGGTTTAAATTTTCTTGAGGAATGATCATTTTTGACAGTATGGACAATTCTTCCATCAAGAAAGAAAATATACATAATTCTGCACAGTCAAGAAATTGGATATCGTGTGAACTCAGTTTGCTATAAAGCCAGCTAATATTTCTCAGAACATTAGTATTGGAAATCATTCCTATTAGACACAAAGACAGGTTTAATGGAAATAAGTGAACGCTTATATTCAAAAACTCTGTTCCAGTTGGCCAGAAACTTTCAAATCTTCCTGTTGTCATTTTAGAGACTAGAATGACAGCTTGGATCTTTCAGCTGTGGGGGCTCATGTTTAGTTCATGTAAGTCATTCACCAGGGCAGACTGCTGCAGACGTGTTCTTCAAATCTCGTCCTAAAGAAACCTCAAGCCCCTTTTTCTTCATTAAGTTGCAGCCCTTTGGAGCTTTGATTATCTTCGCAGGCCATGCTTAGACTTACTGAGCCCTAGTCGTTTGCTATGCCAACAGATAAGGTATCCTTTCAGTGATATTTGAAATGGTGTTC